CAGAAGAGTCTTAAAAATAGATAAATAAAGGAAGCTCCATTTTGTGGTAAAGAAACTGAGTCCAAGAGGCAAATAGCAAGCTCTTATAGTGACTTTAGCGGCTGACTGTAAGGAAGGCCATCTTGAAGAGGGACAGGTAAAGAGTAGCCTACCCCACCAGCACGGAGGACCTCAAGCCAATCTGCCTGCCCCTTAGCACCCACCCCTTCTGTGACTTCTGTAGCCTGTGACATTGTTTCCAGCTCCTTTACCTTGAAGTACAGCGCCTGGACCCTTGAGTTGGTTCTGCTTCAAATCCTACCCCCACCGTCCATCTAAATTCCTGCATTTTATCTGCCCTAGTTCAGCCCTTCTGAGGCGGGACAACTGCTGGATAGCTTCATCCCAAACACGGATTACTTCCTAGGCCAGTCCCATCCCAGCCTTCCCCTTCCCTTAGCAGCCTGTCCTGGTAAGTGCAGGGCAGGGAACAGAGAAACGAGACACCGTCGTCCTCCCATGCCACTCTACCATGCACAAACCAGCAGTCCCAGCGCTCCTCTCCCTCCTGCCTGGTACAGCAGGGTCTGGTCACCTCCCAACACCCCGCCTTCTAAAACACCAGACCTTTGTCCCTTGTTTGATTGAAGCTTATGAGTGCAGGGCTGTCCCTTAGAAAGATGCTTTTGCCCAGGGCTACGGCCAGTCCCAAGCTCACAGCCTGGAACACAGCAAACAAGCAACAGGAACCACCTATCAGTCCCCCATCCTGGATCACCTTCTTCGCTCCTCATCGGTCTTGGCCCTGTCCTTGCACAGCTGGAATTAGCTTTTTTTCTGTCTCTAACTGTGTGGAGGGGCTGGGGGGGGGGGGGGGCGGGGGAACAGGACAAGGGGATGGGACACGAGACGACACAGCCCAATCGTCCACGAGACGACACAGCCCAATCGTCTGTGTGTCTGCTGCAATGTCCTGTGCATAGGAAGCTCTGTTAGGTAACTGAATAAAAAACAAAAGGTGCACCGAAATATGGACACCCACTATGTGTTTAGGTGTCCCTAAGGGATGGTAGGGAGGCGGGAAGGCCAGCACCCTGCAGTTCCTACAGGTGACACTAGGTGGCACAAAAGCACAAAGAATGTGTTGCAAGAAAGGCTTGTCATTTCCGTAGAGGGTTTAAAAATGGCTGTCAGCAGGACACAGTGTAATCACTAAGTTTTCCAGAGACAAACCCCGTGGGACATTCACTCATGCAGGTCCAGATCCGAGTGCCCAAAAGAAGGTGGGGCCTTCTAAACAGTGCAACCTGGCTTAGGGAGCTCTCTTTTTTCTCTATGCAGGCCTTCACTGGGTTGGATGAAATCCATCCACACTATGGAACAATCGGCTTCACTGTGCATGGCCAACCCAGTGAGATTCTCATGCAAGGACACTCTCCAGTGTGAGCAACTTTCACACTCACACCGGAGCTGAGAGGCCATGTCTTCTGCCTTCCCCTCTCCCAGCAGCACGAGGTCAGGTGTGCGCCGTGGCCTTGCACTTCCCTCATCTGCCCAGCAGATCAGTGGCCAGTCTCTTTCCCCTTTTCTCACTAATCACTGAGTGGGCAAGGCAGAGAGACCCAAGGGTAGCCTAAAGTGAACCTTTCTTAATTTATCTTATCAAGACAGTCTCACTGCTGGCCTGAAAATTGGGGTAATCCTCCTGCCTCGGTTCCAGTCAGAAACGACAGCTGCACACCATCACAGCCCACTAGGCAGAATTATCAAGGGTGCTATCCTGACCTGTGAAGATTCTGTACTTGGCAGTTTCAGTATTTTAAAATATTCAAGGTCTGTGAATGGAGGTAAGAGGTTTAGCTGAAGGAGAGGAAGCAGGTGTCGAAACTGCATTCCACCCTCCCAGCAAAAGACAGTGCTGCAGGCAGGAAACAGATAGGCAAATCTGCAGGCAGGAGTCACATTTACTTATACAGAAGCTTAACTTCCCACTGGCAAACCTGTTAACCCAAGAAATTTCTACATGACCCCAGGTACTGGGTCCATGAAAGACAAATTAAACATTACTGGTAATAAATCATAAAGGCATTTATTTCAAAACGATGAGGTGCATATGAATGAGATGAATGTGCTCTTACATTATATAATTTTAGGCAAGTATCATCTGATCCTGCAGAGCGCCTTTAGAATTTCACAGCTGGTCAGTATTCCAATTTTATAATTAGTTCAGAACACTCTACATAAACACAGCATGACATGGAAGAAGTGTTTAGGATCATTCCAAAAGTGCCGGAAATTCTGCTGTAACATCAAGTCAAAAACAAGTTTTTTCATGAAACTCAAAACTCTTGAAAAGCAAAGCATAGAGGCAAATAAATGCCTGTGGTCCCAGCCTTGGAAGTTACAGCCTCTTCGAGCTACTCAAAGCTAGCTATCTCAGGACCAAGACAAGATCCAGACCCATCAGTGACAGGGTCTGATCCTGGGGCTGACACTGAGCACTTGGGGGGAGGGGGCAGGGGAAACGACACAGGCATCTGGATCTACGTACTGGACTCCGTTTTAAATAAACAGGCATGGAAGCACACACCTGTAAACCAAGCATTCCATAGATGAACACAAGAGGATCAGCGTGAAAGTTATTTGAAAAAGAAAACAAATTAGTGAAACAACCCAGCTCCCTTCCAATGAGCTCAGCCTCATCAATTTATTCTAATTCAAATCCTTAACCTTCCAGCCTCCACAGGGTCCAAAGCTGGCCTCAAACTCACAATTCTGTCACCCAGATGATGGGAGCACAAGTGGCCCCCCCACGACAGATGGCTGCAAGGGGGCTGTTCTACTATGACCATGCACTAATAGGCAGAGTGATACATTCAGCAACTCCAGCACTTGAGAGGCTAAGGCAGGAGAGAAAGTGGAGACTGAAAAGGGGTTACTCTGCCAGTGGAGCCCTAACACAGGAAACGGAGGGCCTTAAGGAATATGATCCGGACAGCATCGCCAGCACACACTGTGCCAACCCTAGCCTCTGCAAGGCTTTATCCCCCTGGGGTTAAGTGTCATCCCCTAAACTGCTTTGAGGTGAACTCATCAAAGCCTGCAACATGGCCTGTACCCCAGCGAGGCCCAGTAAGTCCGTCTCCACTACGTTCAGATCGCACCTGCACATACCAGGCCCACCTACCCACCCCCTAACGAAGGCCTGCTAAACCATCCTCCAGAGTTCCAGCCCCCCTGCTTCTTGGTAAAATTTGACTCTGGCAGTTTTTGCATGAAGCCTCACCATGCCGCCAGGATCCTAATGTACTAAAACGGCCTGAAAAGGTTCATTTCACAATGCCGTCACTCTAACTTTTTGTGTGTGCCCCACCACCCCCACACACGCACAGACATAAGACAGTACCTTACTTGTATTGGTAGCAGTAAAATTACACAATTCTTGCGTCCCAAAGCAGAAAAAGAAACTGCTTAGTGCGATTTTGTAAATAAATCCATCAAGTTGAGCTATAGAAGTTTTTTTTAAATATTTCAAAAATGCTACTGAGTTGTTATGGTCCGGACTTTCAACAGTAACTAGGCATTGTCATCAAGTATCTGGTGTCTCGGTCACCAGGAAACATGGTCCCTTTTAGAGACAGCAGTCTAATAACTACTATCACTCTGGCTGCCAGACACCGCCCCCACCCCAGACTACACAGAAGCCCTCACCTACTGACATTAAGGCAGAGCTTCCTTGGAATTTGGATACTTTCCACACTGGAAGAAGTCGGGGAGTAATGGGCTTTTGAGGGGTAGGAGCGGGTGAGGGCACACAGCTTTTCCAAAAGAACGCTAACCTAAAAGGCTGGTGTGCTTTCTAGTCACCAAAATCAACCGCATTCAGCTCTGCAAATACATGCCAAGCCACATGCTCTCCAAACCCTTTAATACAGCTGAGTCACAAGCAATAAACACTTTCTCTGTTAGAAGGGAGATTCGTTGTCATGATCACACACCAAATTCCCCATTTCTTCAGCAGGAACACTGAAGTGGATGTTCTGGTCCACAGGTTGACTCAAGGTCATAAAGGCAGGTGGACAATGAGATAAAAGGAACACCAACACCTGGATTTTGCCTAAGTGTGCACACTAAGGGCATTTACACCACCTTCCAGGCAGTTCTATTTAAAATGCTTTTAGTTATGGAATAACAGGGGCACCCAACAATACACCTTTGCCCAAGGCAGCATGCCAACATGCTGTGACATGCTCATACCCAACTACCCCCGGCAACGCTCGAGCTGCAGTTCTAATACTACTTGTGTATCACTGCCTAGCACCAAGGCTTTCTGGCTCGAGAATAGTGTTCAACACTTGCTTCTGTAGAGGAAAGCAGTCCTTCACACACAGCTAGTGTTCAAAGGCGACAACGCTGATGCCCCACATCCATTATTTAAAAAAAAAAAAAAGGCCGCATCTCTACCCTCTCCACTGTCATTGCAGAGGAGCCAGCCCACCCAACACACACTGTAGGACACCTCTCCAGCAGTGCCCTACCAGTCCCATTCCCACCCCACCCTTCCCTTATCTGGGCTGATGCAGGACAATGTCTTGACCAGTCACCATTATGATGCTCATCCCTGGGGTGGCTCTATACCCTACCAGCGTACATGTCTACCTAGAAAGCACTGTTTTAAAAGGTTCAGGATCAAAGGCCTGGCAAGGGCTTATAGACAGGCTCAAATGTGTGCCTCTGGGCCTGGCATTCCACCAGAAACTACTAGAGCAAGGTTCTTACATGAAGGGAGTTGTCCAAAGTTGTTATGTACACGCCAACCAGAGGCAGAAACTAGTTAAGCTGAATGAGCGGACAGCAGGCAAAGCTACCTGCAGCCAGGTGCTTGGAATACTAGGAGTTAGTGCCCAAAAGACATTAAGCCACAGATGCAGACTAAGTTTTTAAGGAAACACGGGGAGGAATGGGATCGCTAACAGCACATCAGCACACTTCACATGTTCAAGAGTAAACAGAAAGAAACGGTCTCTGTAAGATTTTAATGCTCAGTTTTCACAAACACATGTTTCTATCCAATTTTATGACTTACAGTAGTAAAATGTACTAGTCTTTAAAAATGGGCATTATTCAACTATCCTTCTTACTCTCTTCCAATCTTTCAAAATTCATCACTGGGCGTTTTTATCTCAGTAATACACTACTTACTGTATTTACATTTGAATTCCATGTCATAAGAATAAACGAAATCCATGATATTTTGGTTAACTCAGTGTATTTATAAAATGAAAAGTCCTATCAAAATACTTTTCACTGGAAAAAATAAATAGAACAGACAATGGATCTACTCAAAGCACACATTCACTTTGGTAGACTTCAGTGTAGGACAGTTCATGACAAGCACATTTGCCCTTATTCCCCCAGAGCTGAGCAGCTTCCAAGCTAATGGTTAAATCATTTTTAACAAATTTTATAGTGTTGATATCTGGCTCATTCCACATCATCTTCAGCCAAGCTCTGAGCACTTACAATTCTCTGTAAAGAAAAAGAAAATTAATTGAGAAGTGTCTAACTTCAGCTTACACTAACCCTTGCTCGAGAGTTCCCCCATCCTGACACAGACCCCACACTTCACACACTGCTATCTGAGACAAGACCAGCTGGGCATGGAGACAGCCCTGCAATCTCAGCGCCAGGGCTGCTGAGGGGAGGGGACTGGTGGTGGTGTTGGGGTGTCACCACACAAGCTTCAGTTTCACACCAGAATCCAAGTGAATAGATGAAGTACAAGGCAGAATGCTCTGTCAATTATGTAGTAATCTACAGACTTTTCACCCCACACAAACCAAGGACAGCAGCTGGCGCTCTTACCAAGCTGTAAGGTCATTTCCTTTCCAGCCCCCAGCCATTACAAGAAGCAATACTGCATTCCAAAATTAACACCCTCCCCCTCAAATCTACATTTAACTGACAAAAACAGGTAATAGAGTAATACACCTGTTGAGAATTTAGATGCTAACCAGGCAAACCTACAACATTCTTCTAGGCTGCTTTGGCCTGGACTTTCTTTGTTCTCAACAGTCCCTGGACTGGAAGCTCAGGCGCCAGTGTGGTAGTACTGAGAATCTGGGATGGTAAGGCCTAGGGGACAGTGATGAGATCTGCCATGTACCGCTCTCCAACTCAGTTCCTGAATGAACAGTTAACCCAATTCCCAGCTCTTCACTGCCCACTCCACACCGGGCTGGTTCCCCTTCCAATTCTGTGTCACACTGTGACACAGCCAGGTGGCTCCTGGACTGATGTACAACAGCTAAATCCATGTCCAGAACGGGCTTTGATTACAGCATCACAAACTACAGAAGTTACCCCTTCAACAGCACGTAACGTTAACTGGGGTGTGGACAGAATGGAACCATATTCATCTAAATTTAAAACTTAGTTCAAGGGCTGGAGAGATGGCTCAGTGGTTAAGAGCATTGACTGTTCTTCCAGAGGACCTGAGTTCTATTCCCAGCAACCACATGGTGGCTCACAACATCTGTAATGAGATCTGGTGCCCTCTTCTGGCCTGCAGGCATACATGGAGGAAGAATGTTGTATACATGATAAATAAATAAAAATCTTTAATTAAAAAAAAACTTTAAGTTCTTGTAATCAGTTTTTTGTTTTGTTTTTCAAGACAGCGTAAGACAGGGTTTCTCTGTGTAACAGCCCTGGCTGTCCTGGAACTCACTATGTAGACCAGGCTAGCCTCGAACTCACAGAGATCCACCTGTGTCTGCCTCCCAGAAGGCTGGGATTAAAGGCGTACACAACCACTGCTGGGTGTAGTTCAAGTTCCTGGTATTCTAAATCTTCTGGAAATCTTGGGGAAATTTAATTTCTCCCCAGGCCTCTTCCAACCTAGCTGAGTTAACAATCGGTGCAAAGGAGCTACAACTGTGACTCAATGGTGAAGCCTGCGCCTAACTTGAGTAAGGCACAAAACCATGAAAGAAAAAAGTTGGAAAACTATTAAGTTACTGAAAAGCCTTGTGAAAACTTGCTTGCCATCATCACTTTGCTAACTCTGATCCATATGGAACTAGCAATCAGCACATGCAGTAGCTGATCTGAGACTCATTTTGGTCTCCTTAGAAAGAATGCATGGTAATGAAAGTTTAGCCAATTTGTACTTAATGTTTTGAAACAAAATCTCACTAAATAGCCATGGCTCAAACCCCAAAAGTGCTGGGATGACAGGTGTGTGCTCACACTCAGCTGTATTAACAGTTAATACATGCCCTTTGTCCCTCCCAGGAGAAATTGAGGAATGTATGTCACACAGCACCAATTCAAAGCCCACAGCAGCAGGAGGCAGACAGTACCAAGCCTGACACATGGAACCAGGATGGCCCAGGTTATGCAATCTTGACTTTCTGTATCCCCTATGTTAACTAAAAGCTTGATACGATGTCTGACAAGCGTGCCCAGAGCCTTGAGTACAATGGGCGAGGGCTCCAAAGCGCACTGCATCCCGAGCACGAGCCAGCTGGCCTGAACTTAGGGACTCAAATGTAAAGGCCTCACACTCAACACCAATCATGTACACTTATGAATCACATCTGATACAGGTCTGGATCTTATGCTACTCACCTGCTTAATGTATCATTAGGAAAACCATTTCCAGGTCTGGCATATCCAATATTATAATATGCTCAGTAGACTTGCCCCTGAGCATCTAGTCCTCAGACCAATCAATTCATGGGCTACTCTGAGGCACTTACCTGACTAATGGTTGGAAGCTTGGTCAGAAGCATCTGGAACACTGGTGGTGGGAGAGTCTGCTGTAACACTTGCAGCAGCTGCTGAGGCTGCCCACACACAGCAATCGCATTTGTCAGGTGGTCTACACCGTTCTCGTAGTCACCTGCAAGAGTGTACAGAACCACATGTTATCTGGGGCCGTCAAAACGTAGTCACCAACAGATCAAATCGGGGACAAGTAAAACAACCGGCACTGAATTTCCCTGCACCCACGGAATGGACGTATTTCACCAGCTGCCTGCTGTGGAGAGTGGGGCACCAGCACCTAGCGCTTCAGAACCTCAAGCATGGTCAGAAATAGCTCAGTCTCTGCCCTCGTGGGAATTATGGTTATCCCACCCGTACAATCAGGACACCAGCTGACTGCAGCCACCACTCTGACGTGCGAGACCAGTTCCTTTCCTAGGGCATGAGAAGATGTAATGGTGCCCATCAGGAGACCCTACGCAGGGCCAGGCCCCGAGACCGTGGGACGTAGAGCTGAAGCTGACTGGCTTACTCAGTTCCTACTCCAGCACACACCAGGCCTCTTCTGGACCAGTTCTGGCAATAACCTTTTCTGCCCATTTGTCAGTGCTGAAATTGCAGCTGGCCAGACCAGAGGAACTAATTCACTCCAGGCTGAAGCACCACCATGTTGCAAAGAACACACAGTGCCTGGGCCTCCCTAGGGCACCTTGGGAAAATCTATTCTTCTAAGTTTTCCTACTCAAATTGGTTTTAATCTAGGAAAAGTCTGGAAATAAGTTTGCTAGTTACTTGAATACAAACAAGAACATCTCTTGACTTTTGGTGAAATCTTCTCTTAGGAAAAAAATCTAAGAAGTTGTGGTCCGTGAGGTGGCTCAGCAAGTAAAACTAAAGTAAGCCTGGATACCTTAGTTCAATTCCCAGCCTCACCTAAGGGTGGAAGAGGACTGTTTCCAAGTTTTTCTCTGACCCTACACCAACACGTGGAACTCACATGCATCTCCCACAAACACATTGAATTTTAAAGGGGTTAAGATGATTGCCACCATAAACTCTCATAAAACACAATAACACATTATCATGAAATTCAACTCTAACCGAATCCAGTATAAAATTTGAAATTTTATTAATGACAGCAACAACTTCAAAAAGTTTTGAATAGGAACCATCCTTGTAGCATGAATAATAAAAACCCAGAGACAGATACTGGAGCTCAACCCGAAGATCAGAGGAGCAAAGCAGCCAACCACTAGAGACACCTTTTACCTCTACCAAATATTTAGACAGAAAGGGTGAGGTCCTGTCTCTTCCCCTTTATATTTCTTTCTCCACCCAGCCATATAATTTGTCTCCACCTCCCTAGTGCCAGGATTCAAAGTGTGAGCCACCAACACCTAGATCTGTTTCTGGATTGATCTTGTGTAGCCCAGGGTGGCCTTGAACTCAGAGATCCATCTGCCTCTGTCCCCCGAGTCGTGGGCCTAAACGTGTGTGCCACCGCTCCCTGGCTTCTAGTGACTTAGCTTTGCACTCTGACCTTCAGGCAAGTTGTATTTATACAAATAAAATATCACTACACATCCTATAGTATAGAACAAAATGTTACCCAATTAAGATATTTAGTAGCTGGGCATGGTAACAAATGCCTTTTAATCCTAGCACTCGGGAGGCAGAGGTAGGCTGGCTTACAAATTGAATTCCAGGATAGTCAGAGCTGCCACACAAAAGAAACCCTGTCTCAGAAAGGAAAAAAAATAAAGATATAGATAAGGATGAAAAATAAAACCAAACAACAAAAACAAACCTTCTGATTGAGTAAGTGGGCAAAAGTAATTAAGTATCTAAATTCTGGACCATGTAACTGATCAGATCTGAACCGAGATGCTAGGAAAACCTGGTATGATGACTAATCCTGGCTGTTAACTCGACTAATTGGAAAATTAACTGAAATCCAAGTAGCTGGGCACATCTGAGTTATTTTTCTTGGTGGGACTATCTAAGGTTGGAAACCCACCCTAAATCCTGGCCACACTTCCTGGAGGCAGCCTACAGACATGACAGAAAGCTGTGTCTGCTTGCCCTCACTCTCACCGGCAAATTCAGCTCTCCCAGGTCTTTTGACAGTGTTAGAATATACTTCATGATCACAACGTGGACTGAAAACCGGCAGCTCTCTAGGACAGATCCTTGGCCTTTCTGTGACGAGATGCCAGTGTTGGGACTAGTCAGACCATAACTGTTCCTGATGACTAGGTGCGTGCTGGCAAACTGGGATCACATTCAGTCACTATTTACACTGCACTACGGATGGGCGCCGGTGTGCGTGCGCGCACACACACACACACACACTCTAAATGACTTCAGAGTCACCTGTAAAAATGAAGCTCTCACCTAGCTCCACTCAACTCTTGCCTCATCCTCCACTTGCTCTGTGACAGAGCACGCGAGCCTAAGACGCGCATAAAACCCAGTGCTGAACAATGGCAGCCTATGGTCTGTCTTTCCGGAGTCAGCCTTAGTAAAAAGCACCAAGAAACTCACCTTGAAATGTTTAGAATCCTTTTTCTAACATCAACTATGCAAGAAAATCCTGTCATAAATTTTTATCAATATGAATAATTCACTCTACTTTCTCAATCCTGGAATGACTATTACCTTGTGCTAATAACTCTTCACCAAGCTGTATCTCCTCAAGGAAGAACTTCTGAACAGCTTCAGCATCCTTTAAGTCAGGTAACTGGAAAAGGAATATTTAGAAATTAAACCGAGAATACAACCCACACGGAAAGCCAATAAAATTTAAAAATGACAGTGGTAGCACAACAAATGAGCACCAATTCTAAGAACAAAAACTTAGTCAAAAAAAAAAGCTAAGAAATCTAAAAAGTACAAATATCCATATTGTCTATACCATCTTTACAAACCTCTATTACCTATATCTATCTCTGTCATCTATACGATGCTTTTTTGTAGCCATTATAGATAAACACTATCATCCATTCATTTGCTGGTTGGACTTAAGGCCAAACCCAGGGCCCCTTGCATACTAGAAAAGCGCTCTATTACTGAGCTACATTCCCAGTCCTCTTTATATTTGACAGCATCTTACCAGGGTGGCCACAAAGCTTCAAACCTCCGGCCTCAGGGAGCCCCAGGTCACCAGACACACCTCTGAGGGATGAGGGCAGACTCACTGTGCATTTGCTGGTCATCTCAGTTCTTTTTTTTTTAACCCCGCCCCCAAAATCTTTTTTTTTTTTGTTTTTTCGAGACAGGGTTTCTCTGTAGCTTTGGAGCCTGTCCTGGAACTCCCTATGTAGACCAGGCTGGCCTCGAACTCAGAGATCCACCTGCCTCTGCCTCCCGAGTGCTGGGATTAAAGGCGTGCGCCACCACCGCCCAGCTGGTCATCTCAGTTCTTATAATGAACCATAAGCAACTGACAGGGAAAGGGCAGAGCTCAGTGGTAGAGCGCGCCAGGCAGACAATGCCCAGCTCCACCTCTCCATTCTTAACCAACACTTCTCCCATCAGCCCCACACACTTACACACAATCTCAAGTTACCTCCCCATCTGTATCCCACAGATTGGAAAAGTAGTCTGGACGTAGCAGGAAAACAGCTCTCAGCTTCTATTTGCTAGAACCATATGCTAGCAGCTATGCTGATCACTTATCTGGTTCAAAATAACAAAGTCTAACACTTTTTGATCACATTTTCCCTGCCTGAATGATTCGTGATCCAACAGTTCACGTTCTACAAAGAAGTAATGTCAGCAAGAAGGAAAGCGACATGTAGCTGAACTAGCATTTGCTCAGTTCACTGACACAGCCCAGGTGAGTTTTAATCAAGTAGATTAAAAAAAAATCTTGGGGGCTGGAGAGATGGCTCAGAGGTTAAGAGCATTGCCTGCTCTTCCAAAGGTCCTGAGTTCAATTCCCAGCAACCACATGGTGGCTCACAACCATCTGTAATGAGGTCTGGTGCCCTCTTCTGGCCTGCAGGCATAGACACAGACAGAATAGTGTATACATAATAAATAAATAAATATTTAAAAAAAAATCTTGCGTAGTCATTAAAATTTAGTAACACGGGACCCAAAATGAAATTATATTCTACAAGTTACGATTTTTTTTTAAATCCATCAGAATCTGGTACAGTTCTGGTCCATAGGTTTAAAAACTTTAAAGAGCCTTGGGATTAATACACAGAGCTCCCTTTGCCACAGCAGAGGGTCCACTGGGCTGCCCAGGATGCCTGGCCTGTGAATTCCTCTCTCCACACTAGGGTTCCAGGTGTGGCTCTTTCCAAGGACACCAGAGGAAGGACTCAAATGCTGCATTTTAACCATTCTTTTTTTTTTTTTTTAAATATTTATTTATTTATTATGTATACAATGTTCTGCAGGCCAGAAGAGGGCACCAGACCTCATTCCAGATGGTTGTGAGCCACCATGTGGTTGCTGGGAATTGAACTCAGGACCTTTGGAAGAGCAGGCAATGCTCTTAACCACTGAGCCATCTCTCCAGCCCCATTTTAACCATTCTTAAGTGGCTGAGAACACAACTCTTGGCGCCCACATCTCTAGAGACCCCCATCTTGCTGCTTCTTTAGTAAGATATTTGTTGTCACCACCACCAAAGAAAATCTAGCAGGCTAGATAACCTGCTCTTACAAACACAAAGACCACGTTATTACCTTTGAAAGCCCAGCTCTCTCCTTAGCAAGCTTCTGTTTCTTTCTTCCTACAAAATAAATAAATAAATAAATAAATAAATAAAATTTCGCTTGGCTATCGTCAAAAGGATCAACACATCTGACTACTCAGCAATCATTAATTCACAAACCGTCCTGACCCTAGAACCCCTGCCTCGCTGGTCCATGGTGAGTGAACCGGCATTTCTGGACAGCAGCTCCCCCCCCATCACCAGGTCTAGCAATGCACAGGACAGAGACAGTTCCAACAGCTGCCCCCCAGCAGAACAAAGCTCCCTTTTCAAGGTAAAAGAATTAAGCATTTATTACTGAGTTATACTAGATTCTAGCTTTACTATTAAGCAGCATGATTTTGTAAAAATAAAATATTTGACTTCACTGGGTTTTTTTTTTTGAGACAAGTTCTGTGAATCCAGGTTGATCTGATCTGTTACAGTGGAGGCTCCTAACCTCTAGATCCTTCTGCTCCAGCTCAAGTGCAGGGATTACAGGTATGCAACAAGGTACCAAGGTCCCAGTAGCATTTATGTTTGGTCATAAAAGAAAGGGGTAAGAGGTCATGCTCCAAAATGCATTCTGCTGCCTATGGCTGCTTATTTAAAAATGACCTCAAGCCGGGCAGTGGTGGCGCACGCCTTTAATCCCAGCACTCGGGAGGCAGAGGCAGGCGGATCTCTGTGAGTTCGAGACCAGCCTGGTCTACAAGAGCTAGTTCCAGGACAGGCTCCAAAACCACAGAGAAACCCTGTCTCGAAAAACAAAAATAAATAAATAAATAAAAATGACCTCACTGCTCTGTAATGGTGTGCTCCATAAGAAAAGGCACTGGTGGGCTGGAGAGATGGCTCAGTGGTTAAAGATGCTGACTATTCTTCCAGAGGTCCTGAGTTCAAGTCCCAGCAAACACATGGTGGCTCACAACCATCTACAATGAGATATGGTGCCCTGCAGTCATACATGGGGGCAGCACATTGTATTGTATACATAATTAAAAAAAAAAAAAGAAAGGGCACTGGTGTGTTGAGATCACAGCCCTTTTTGTACTGACCTACACTAAAGTAAGGTACAATAACCTGGCACTCATTCAAACTGATCTAATAATAGTATCTCCATAATTATGGGGCTTCCACCAGGCTTGTGAGTTAACAGATGCAAACACCTGACAAGAGTGCCTGGGCTCATATTCTGCCCTTGGCACCTCAGTTAAATATTCAAACCTAGAAAGTAACAATCAACTCAATACTATGACCTGGACAATAACTAGGTGGCCCAAGTGAAGGGCTCTCTATGCACTAACTGGGTAAATTATAAATTAGAAAAATCTAACTTCAGCCGGGTGGTGGCGGCATACGCCTTTAATTCCAGCACTTGGGAGGCAAAGGTGAGGGGATCTCTGAAAGTTCAAGGCCAGCCTGGCCCAGAAAAGCTAGTTCCAGGACAGTCTCCAAAGCTACACAGAGAAACCCTATCTCCAACACCCCCCCCCCGAAAGAAAAAGAAAAGAAAGAAAATAAAAAAAGCCTCTAAAAACCTTAAAGTACTCTATGAATCCAGGACAACACATGACTACAGGACCTGTTGGTCAATTCCTACGATGTGAAAGCAGCTGTTCAAGATCTCCTGCCCTCAGACACTGTACAGACACACACCAGACAAAAAGTACCTTGAAAACAAAGCAAAACTGTGTAATAATGCAATGTTCTAAACCAGAATTTTGAGAAAATAAAAAGACTATGAACTCCATTAGTTTTCCACAGCCATCTGACTAACATGTGCATGGGCGTGGTTTCATACAAGGGTCTCTGTGACACAGGGAAAAACACATCAGGTACACATCCAATCAGCAGAATCAGGCCTTGCTTTTTACTTGCTGATATTAATCTCAAATGGCACTTGTAAACTTGCGGTAACTATATCCACTGGGTGCTGGGTGGCAGAGGTGGTGCACTCCTGCACTCCCAGCGCTGGGGAGGAGGAAGGATAGGGAGTTCAAGGACAGCTGGTATTAGAGACCTTGTCTCAAAACAAACAAACAAACAAACAAACACAACAACAACAAAAAAAACCCGTGCAAAATATAAGTTCAGACACACCCCAAATCCAAGACACCTAACTAAGTCGCCTCTCTAACACATTCCTCAATGGAGCATCTTTCACACCGTTTAGATGCCCGATCGAGCCGGGCGGTGGTGGCGCACGCCTTTAATCCCAGCACAGGGAGGCAGAGGCAGGTGGATCTCTGTGAGTTCGAGACCAGCCTGGTCTACAAGAGCTAGTTCCAGGACAGGCTCCAAAGCCACAGAGAAACCCTGTCTCCAAAAACCAAAATAAATAAATAAATAAATAAATAAATAAATTAGATGCCCGATCGAGCCTCTGGGGCGAGGAGTGAGGATCAGCTGCTTACAGAAGCATTAGTCTGGGTTAAGACACCTAATCCAATTTCAAACACTCAATTTAAGCTCCTTTTCATTAAATATCAAAAAGAAAACGACGGGAGAAACTAGTCTTTTACTGCAGATGTAAATGAGTCAAAACCAACTATTCAGATTCCTAAGGCTCACTCAACTGCAGACGGCTTTAAAGAGACTGGAACTACTCGCTATTTGTTTGCAAAAATTTAAGAAATTCTGGCATTCATTAATAGCGTTGTCGGCAGCAGTACTAGAGATCCGAAAGTGTGGATTCGTTCCTGCCTTTTATGCCACAGCTACAGTTACTAATTCACTTAGGTCCTGACTAAAGTTAGGAGGAAAAAACAGAACAAAACCAAAAAAACCCACCAACAACACAAAGCGGATAGAACAGATCGTGTAGGTACAGGCAGTGGTGGAAGACCGAGTCTGAAAAAGGCCGTGGATTCAATCGCCAGAAGGGCTAAAAGGAAATGCCGGAAAGGTTATTCTGAAAACAAGGCTAGCAGGCTCTGTGCCCCAAGCCTTTAATGTCAGCACTTGAGTCCGAGGCAGGTTGATCTCTTGACTCTGAGGCCACACTGGTCTACAGATGGAAAACCAGGTTCAAAACAAAAAACCCCAAACAACCCAAATTTCCCCGAAACGACAATTTACGATTTCTTCAACCAAAAACTATTTTCTTAAGATTTCCAAAGGAATTAACCCGCTTAGCTATCTCCATCCGGCAAACCCCCTAAAAGATGTCGCAGGTATGAAATAAGGCTGAACCACGTGAAGAGCGCAGCCCTTTGGACTCCCCCGCACTTTCTCTAGCATTCACTCATATCTTGGAAGCACCGGAGCAAAGCCGCCAAGAGGGTTTAAGAATGCAAGGATGATCCCGCAGAGTCTGCGGATTGAGGCTCTAGCGAACGATTGCGCACACAAGAGGCTACCATTTCGGGGTAAGGATTGGATTAGCCATGTGGTGGCGCCCGTCTGTAAAGCCAGCAATGGGAGGCACCACGAGTTCGAAGCCAGCCTCCAAACTGCAGCAAACACACGGGAACAATCTCTTCCAACAGTGAAGCAGGAACGATGGTTCGTGCCTGTTAGCACAGCCCTCGAGGAGCTGAAGGACGGCGGCTGCGCCACGAGGTCGAGGCTAGCCTGGGCTAGTGATTCAAGCCAGCCTCAACGACACGGCAGGCCCCGGTTTCAAACACGCACACACCGCCCACAAGTCTAATGGAGGCTGGGCGAGGTGGCTCATGCCTGGGACAATACCTGGAAGGCGAAGGCGGGAGGACTGCCATGACCTCCAGCCCATCCAGGACTAAAGACCCATCTTAAAAAGAAAAAAATTACAGACGGGTGGGAGGGGACACGGTTCCCCTCCCGGGAGCCAAGCGTGCCTCCATCCCGTCGCCTGCAAGATGGAGCCCAGGTCGCCTCCAAGATGGAGGCCCGCGGGCACGGGCGGGACCCCGGGCGCAGCGCGCGGCCGGGGCGGCCTGCGGAGGTCGCGTCGGGCGTCGGGAAGCGGGGTCGCGCGGGCCCACTCACGTTCTCGCAGCCTGTTCTTGAAGTTGGGGTCGCTCCGCCTTTTGCGGTCGAAGTAGATGCAGTAGCCGATGAAGAGGGCGCCGCACACGCCCGCGGCGATGGCACTGTTGCGGCCCACCATCTTCGCTCGTCCGCTCGCTCGCTCGGCGGGGGCGCGCGCGGGCCGGGGCCGGGGCCGCCGAGGGCCGCCAGGCAGCGCTTCGCTCCGAGCGCTCGGAGCACGCCAGCCGCTCGCCGCCCCGCGTCCGGACGGAAGAGGCCCGGCGCCAGCGCTTCCGGCGCGCGAGGACCCGCCCCCCTCCCCCCTCTCTCCCTACCCCGCCCCTCCCGGGGGCGTCCGCGGCGGTGCCTGCGCGGAAGCGCCTGGTGCGCAAGCGCAGACGGCGTCGCCCGCGCCGGCCTCGCTGGGGGAGGGGCGCGCACTGCGGAAGGGTTCGTGCGTCATCACGCGCTTCCTTCCACGAAGACCCGTGGCTTCGTGGCTGCACGTGGTGGTGGCGCGCTGAGTCAGGATCCTTTGTCCGCCATCGTCTCTGGTGAAGGACAGAGGTGCGAGCCTGCTAGCACAGCACCCCACCCCACCGTGCCGGTCAGGAAGCCCACGACGTGAAGAGCGTGCCTTCCCTTTTTCCATTTTTTGAGCCCGGCTCTCCCCTTGTGACTTAGCCAGGCCTGGGACTTGCAGTGTTGTCTGTCTGCCCTGGCCTGAAACCTGCAACCCTCCCACCTCGGCCTGCACTACTCGGCTTGGCTGCATTTGTTTTTTGAGCTGTGGCCGAACTTGGACACAGCAATTGATTTCAAAATAATTTTAGGGTGTAGCCCCATCTTAATTCGTAGGGAAGAAAAATGGAGTGATTCTTCAAAAAGCAAAACAAAAGTTAACCTTGAAGGAAGTAGAAAGGCAGAAAAAAAAACAGTATGGGGGCGGTTGCTCTTTGTGCCCTTGGGCTGTCATTAATTGTCATTAATCCAAGAGTAGCAATTCTTTGACGTTTTAAGTGAAATTAAATAATAATGGGGAAAGCCCCAAACCCAGGCTACCTATCTGTACTGCAGGGACCCACGCCTTCCCTGGGAGCTGGACCTGAGCTGAGCGCTATTGAATATTGTGTAGCTGTGTTAAACGCTATTCGAATGGGTGTTTCTGTGCGGACTTTTAAGTGAGTCTTAGTTGTAGACACCGTTCTGGGACTTTCTGTCAACGAAGCGAAGCCACCCGCACGCTCTAAACACAACCCTGCTACCCGTAGTACACACTGTAGCTGCTTGTTGCTGAAGACCGACTCAGCACCGGGAGGCTCTGTTTTAGAGCAATTGTACCGATCTTTTTACTATCCAAGAGCCAGAGGGGACTCTGGATGACTTCCCACCAAGGCTAGGGTGAGAAGCGTCCCTTCGTGTTCCAGAGTTAGTGCAAAGCACAAAGCTTCTTTTGCATGAAGAGTTATGATTGGTGCAAGCACTCACTTCATCCCTTTTCCTCTCCCACAACCAGGTTGTGTTTTTTAAATGTATGTGCAGAGAAACCAGGGGCTCAGCTGACCAGCCACCCCATGAAGCTGGGGCTGGCGTTTTCTCTAATCAGCCAGCAAGCCCCAGCAGTCTCCACTTGCTGCGGTTCCGGGTCTGCACCAGGCACCCACCCGACAGCTCCATTTTTTAGTCAGCCAGGAGATGCTGCCTTGTATTGGTGCCTAGTATTGCAACATTAGACCCGATAAAAAGGTTATTCCCAACTGATTTCTTTTAGCTAGCAACTAGAGGGGTGGCAGTAGAGAGTGACAGCGGTGACCATGCCCACACCACCACCCTTCTGTGGCAGTAGCAGCAAGCGAGAAATAGGATGACAGAGCAGAAGGTAGAAGGTTGTGGAGAGATGAAGGTGCTGCCTCTGGTCATTGCCAGAGTTCCAGGAAACACCCACACCTTACAGACAAGGATCCTGACACCCGAGACCCCAGAGCTGTAACACTGCATGAGGATGAGGGTCCCAAGGTCTGAGGTCCTCCCAGGGGTAATAAAAGGTGTTGCCGCCTCACTAGCCCTGGGCTGCTGGCAATCAGAAGTCAGAGCTATCTGGTTTGCAAGGCCTGAAACCCTAAATCTCCAGTTCTTGGGACTTGGAACTAGAAGCCTCTGGATCAGTAAGCCCCAGCTAAGAAGCTGTCTGCACTTCAGGGCTCAGAACTACCAACTCCACAGAAGCTATTCCTTGCCTAGTGGATTTCCATCTGAGCAAAAGAATGCCAGCCAGTTCATTAGCAATGGTGAGGCCCACACACCACACACTGGCTAGCGTTTGAAGGAAAGGCAATCTGGTCGAACACTGCACCCTTCCCTTATGACACTTGGTCTGAGTAGTTGGTAGACAATACCGGAAGATGTCACTGGAGGACCCAACACAGCCTGGGAAAGCCCTCCACCAGAACAGGAATTAGCCCTGAAGGTATGTGTGGGGGAAAGGTAGGGGGTAAGGATAGAGAAGTGCAGATACAGCAGAACCAAGGACCCAGACAAGACACATACAACAGAGCAGGAGCGCGGCTTTCTTATACCCAGCACACATTGTGATTTTCCTCATCCCTAAAACTACCTGTGAGCCTCAGCCGCCTGAGCCTTGGGTACACAGAACAGAAACCAGCTACTCAAATCCATGAAGTTGGCATGCGAGGCCTTGAACAAGGGACAGTAGGTCGTCTTTGTAGCTCTGACAGTGGGTTCCGGATGACTTGAATGGAAACCAGTTTAACTTGTGGTACTGTGGATTAAAGGAGGAGTGGCAGGCACGCTAGGTTGGTGCTCTGCCACATTACTGGTTTTTAAATTAAATGTCTGCAACACATACAGCCATGTGAAAAGTTCATTTTGGTTAAATGTGTCCATAATTATTAGTGAATTCTGCAAACTGAAGGTAATTCCATCAGACTCCACATCCAATCTCTTACATCAACCAACGGAGGGAGGGAGGTATTCACAGGGAAGTTGGGAGACGTGCTTAATGTTAGAGTCACTGACCTAGGTCACACTCCAGCTCTGCTGCCCTCACTCAGAATTGTCCGCAGTGACAAGGGTAGGCGGCCAGAGCTTCCCCACGCCTCTTATCCTGAGAACTCCTTAATGTGTAAGCCCAGCAGAAAGCATTTGAGGAAAAGTTAGGGAAAAACTGTTCATGAGGGGGAAAAAGTGACTAATTCTCATGATTAAAAAGCATGTATCCAGTATTTTTATTATAACTAAAAACCAACTTCTAACCGCTGTTGGCCACTCATAGTCTTGTGGCTGTAAGTATTTACCCAGATATAACAAGGCAAGTATTTGTCCAGGTTGAAAGAAGAGTTACAGAGCGTCTAAGGAAAATGTTCTACAAAATCTTTTTTTTTTCATGTTTTAAACAGTAAGTACCACACACATATTCTGTTTGTGAAAGGAGAGTTCAGTAAGTACACAGTAACAAATTCCGGAACACCTGGGCCTGTGAGCTGGCTGTGAATAGAAGTGCACGCTGTGGGAGAGAGCTCGAGTTCTCAGAGCTCTGTGCAAGCTGTGCACGCATGCACCTGCGTCCACGTGATGCAGGCCCATTTTCACCTTGTCTGACCGTCAGAGTCTGGAGATCGACAGGCCATAGTTGTCTGTCCCAACTCAGGATGTGATTGCTTGGTTCTCTTGAAATTAAGATAGCTCCATGCCACCCTGACAGGTGGTCAGGATATGCAAGTGTAGTTTCTGCTCCTTCTTTGCAACTATGAGGTCACCTGGGGAAAGGTAGTTGTCAGCATATGCGACCTAGAGCACCTTTGCTACCTAGACAACAGAATGCTGATTGGATGTCTCAGAGTGATAAAGCCATTGGCTGTGTGAGTTATCCTTTGTATCATGTTAATAAAGTCCTTTGTTACCTGCTTCCCCCACCCCCATTTATGTTAGGTATAAAAACTGAAAAAATAAACACGGAGGATTTCAGTCACTGGAATGCCCTCCCAACACTTTCTGTCTTATTATTTTTATGCAGCTTCATATTCTTTACTTACATTTCTTCAATTCTCACGCCCCTACCCTGGCAAGAGGTATTTTTGTCGAGGCCAGTCCTCTACAATATATGTATATACAATATCTACTATGCTTTAAGCTGTTCACTCACAGGAGTCAAAGTATGCATGTATGCACACAGATCATATATGAACACACAATCTATCTTTTTTTAAAATATTTATTTATTCATTATGTGTTGTAATAGGAGCGGCCGCCTGCTAGCTTATGCCCCAAAATAATTACACAGACACTGTATTCTTTTAAAACACTGTTGGCCCATTATATCTAGCCTCTTCTCGGCTAACTCTTGCACCTGGACTAGCCCCTTTCTAATAATGTGTAGCACCGAGGTGCGCTTACAGGGAAGATTCTAGCCTACGTCCAGTCCATCCTGGGTTGGAGCTTCATCGCGTGTCTCAGAGAGCAGAGCTATCACGTCTACCCGGGAGAGGGGAGCATGGCGTCTCTCTGAGGCGTCTGCTCCCGAGAGGAGAGCTGTGGAGTCTGAGCTCACTTCCTCTTCCAGCGTTCTGTTCTGTTTACTCCTCCCACCTATCTTCTAACCAATAAAATGGGCCAAGGCAGTTCCTTTATTAGCCAATGACCTTCCTCCATCAATTATGGATACAATATTCTGTCTGTGTGTATGTCTGCAGGCCAGAAGAGGGTACTAGAACTCATTACAGATGGTTGTGAGCCACCATGTGGTTGCCGGGAATTGAACTCAGGACCTCTGGAAGAGCAGGCAATGCTCTTAACCACTGAGCCATCTCTCCAGCCCCAATCTAATATATCTTTATATAATTTAGGCAGAAAGCTTAAAATGATCAAGTAACATTGCTGAGATTTAACTGAAAGGGTAAGGGAAACAAAGCATAAACTATCCAGACTTGGCCACAGGAAATGGAGCTTTCTCTGCTAAGAACTACACTTTTAACTGTATGTATATGTCTGTGCAGTTATATGCAGTTGTGAACTACTTGAGGTGGGTGCTAGGAATTGAACTCGGGTTCTCTGGAAGCGTGAGCACTGCATGCTCTTAACCAAGAAGCCATCTCCCCAGCCTCTAGAGCTATGTTCTGACACCCCATTAGATTTTCTACATGGCATTGTCCAAAGACAGAATTCTGAAAACTAAACGAGTGTCTACCTAAGTGATAGAGTGTGTTTTCTGTAGACAGCCACCTTGGCTTACACCTCCCCACAGTTCTCCATCCTGGACCCAGCCTCGGCTTGGTGACATCTGC